CCTGGGATCTTCTTCGACATTATACCTTTTCTTAATGTGTGAACAATGCTGTTTTTTGATTTCTAAGTTAGCTCCAGTAATTATTCCACATATACTTATCAATTAATATGTTGTTCTACAGAAGAATTGAAAATTATAACAATGGATTGTTGACTTCTTTTTTAGGAGACTGTGCGAAAGGCAGCAGAACTAGCCCTAAAAACTTTAAGCAAGGTAAAACTCTCATTTTTGTCATTTGCACATGGAGATGTGTATGGTTTTGATGTCAGGTTATCATTCATTATCATATCTGCAGGAGTGACCTGTTTACTGTAGACTGTTGTCTTTTTGAAAAGATCTCTGGTATGTGGTGCAGTTGTGATAAACAGAACAGCTGCCTAGAAAGCAATCACAATGAGCTTGACCAGATACTCTTCTGGACTTTCGTTGATGCTGGTGAAGTTCTGCTCCTTGAGGATAATGTGATGTTAAGTTCTATACAACCAAAGAAGGGATATAGTGAATTGGGGTGTTTTTTTGCCTCTGGTGTCCTTTTTTTTTCCCCCACTTTGGGGAGGGATCTAAGGAAACTAACTCCTGTAACTTCAGCAGTTGACCAAGCCCAGTGGAACCTCACTGGTGTGTGAAACAGAGTAATCCAGTCTGGGCTTCACTTTCTGATGCTGTTACTCACAGAAGATTTTTTGGGTATAATACACATATCTCTTAATATTTTGTTTGGTGTTCCTCTAAAAAAGTCACATCAGTGGAAATGGAAACAGATCTTAAGAGTTGTGTTTGAAATTACAACCTTCACAATGCACGGAGCATGACATTTCAATGGCACAGGTGGTGATCTGGTCACAAAACCTCGTTGCATTTGCAGAATCTGTTCTGATCTGGGAATTCCTGCTCTGCCTCCTGGAATGGTTGCATCCACCTGACTGAGACAGGCTGTCCCTCAGCTGAGAGGTCATTTGGCCCACCTTTTCATCCAGATGCAGATGAAGGCCTACTAGGCTATGAATTTGCCTTTTCTGGAATCTGAAACTCCCCTTAGGGTTGTGTCTTAGAGCTTAAGTACCCCTTGGAGAGGAGAATGAAGGTGTAGCAGAACCTGGGTTTGGCTGTGAGCTTTAGTTGCTGTTGGCTACTTCTGTGTGATGGAGAAGGTGCTTTAATGTTACCTGAGCAGGAGGTTTTTACAGGCTTGCAACACTGATTCTCACCTGTCCCCAGGTCTGTGTGAAAATGTGTGAGCCCTCTAAAGGAGCAGCAGGACAGAAGACGATAGCTGTATTGCTCCCTTGCCTCCTAGACAAAGGAATAGTAAGCACAGTTGCTGAAGTCCGATCTCTCAGGTTAGTTTTGCATCATGTAAGTTCCCTGGGGGGTCGGGTCAGCTTATTCACCTGAGTTGCAGAGTGTTCTTTGTGTTGAAAGTGAAAAGTTTCTCCTCAAAACAGCTTTCCTGACAAGTTCTTTTCTCATTGAGTTCAAACAGCAGCCCTGGGAACTCTTATCTTTTGGGATTATCTGGCCTCTACAAATGCCCAGATTCAGTTCCCAGCAGGAAGTTCTTTTCTCCCTGTACAGCTGGCAAGCTGATCTGCAAGCAGTTTGCTGTGCTTGAGGCTGTCCTTCAGGACTGGCACATTTCTTCTGCTTATAAACAAAAAATACCACAGATAGTTCTTGAAACAGCCAGGTCTTACTTCTCAACTGGTTGTGAGTAATGACAGTTCACATCCCAGAGGCGACTGCATTTGGTCACACTGTTCAGATACATTTCAAGTCATGTAACAGGTTGATGTCCTTTGATGTATAGGGACTTCATATGCTTGTCACTTTGTAACTTTGTTTATTCCTTCATTTGCTTGAAGGACAGAAAAGCTGGAAAATTCAGACCTGGAGTGTAGCTGTTTTTTGCAAAAATAATTTTCTTTTATTGAACATGATTATCCAGGAAGGTTAGAAAGCTCCTAACAAATGTAGTGAATATTGCTTTAATTTTTTCAACCCCTTTGAAGATATGAAAACTCTTTGTCAAAATGCAGCCTGAGATGTGGTGAGTCTGAAACTGACAACTGGGATTTGAACAGATCATGGTAATTTGTTTTTTCTTAGGCAGAGACAATGGATGTCTTTGGGGTGACTTTGCACAGAGCTTCTTTAAAACATGAAGATGTGTTATTTCTTCCTAAATCTGTAGTACTGCCTCTTTGCCCATTTTCTTTGTGACACCCTGGCCAAAGCAGTCTCTGTGCAAAGCAGAGCATCAGTTGGAAGCTCAGGGCTACGGTGTGATTTAGCTTAAGCAGAAAAATACACAGATTTTTGTTTGCAGGTAGATTTATATTGGTGTATCTGAGATTTGGATTGGCCTTTTTGTTAGTACTAGATTCGAGTACACCAGAGAGGTTTTTTTCAGCTAAGTCTCTGTGCTTTTATGTTAACCTTCACTTTGATCTTTTTTCAGCATTAACACTCTTGTGAAGATCAGTAAAAGTGCTGGGTCTATGCTGAAACCTCATGCTCCAAAACTTATCCCAGCCCTGCTGGAGTCACTGAGTGTGCTGGAGCCTCAAGTCCTCAATTATTTGAGTCTTTGTGCAACAGAACAGGAGAAAGTAAGTGCAATTATACTGAGAAAGTATCAACAGAACAGAGAGAACAAAGATTTAAGCTTCATTCAGTGAACAGAAAAATAGCAGATTTGGATGAGAGGTGTTCAAAGGTGCAAAGAGAAATAGCTAATAAGGTACTAAAAGAAGTTTGGTCATAGGAATATGGCTGGACAAATGTGGGGGTTTTTTTTGAAAGGTTGGGGTTTTTTTTATTCACTAGACCACATTTCAGAAAGTGGAGAACAGTCTTAGTAAGAACTGTTGTTAAATGTCACTTCACCTTCATGTGCAGCTGTGAAACAGGTGAAGAGGGAGTCTGTAGTGATTATCTGGAGTGCACCTGTACTCTGCATCTTTGCTGCTCTTTTTCCCAGGAGATTAACTGCAGGATTTCTTATAACATAAATTAGAAGGTTTGCCATAGCACTGTAGACTGGAAGTGGATGTTATCAGCACTATATCCTTCAATCTCTCACAAAGAACTGTATTAATCAGTAGTAGTCTTTGGGAAGGTGACTGAAACCCACTGATCAGAAGCAAATTTAGATAATTTAATTGTATGAAGGGATTCAGTCTAGGGGGTCAAACTCCGCCCTTTGCAAATGAGAAAAGCACGAACAATCAGTCAGAGTGGGATTTTTTTCTCTTTTTTTCCCTTTTTTCTTTCTTTCATTTTTTTCTTTCCATTTCCTTGTTGTCAAGATTGCATGGTTTAGCTCCTGTACTCCAGCTAGAACATCCCTCTGCCTCTGAAAGGGAGACATTCATAGTCTGTAGACATAGTTACTTTCAGTCTGTATGCATCTGAAATGGATTTCCATTTGAGTTTGTGAGGTAGTGAGTTATAGCTGATGCTGCCCTTTTGACTCTTTTCATGTTGAGTTTACACTTGGGTTTAGGTTGTTCTTTTTCTTTTTTCCCCAGACTGCAATGGATAGTGCCAGACTTAGTGCTGTCAAGTCATCTCCCATGATGGAAACCATTAACATGGTAAGTACTTGATTCAGAAGGGCTCCAGTGTAAGCTATGTTGTAGGAGAAGAATGGGAATCAAAGTGGGAGCTTTACAGAATACCTCTTCAGGGTTCATTTTATTGTCACATCTCCAGGTGGATGTCTGTCCACCTTCTTTTTCATGTACTGACATCTCTCATAATGTGACCACAGCTTGCTCCTCAGATCAGTTGAGAATAAACTTGGCTCCATTTGGAGTCGGACAGATTGTTTCTCCATCGGAAGACCTGTCTGCTTTGATGCAGAGGGCATCTTTCAAGTGCTTTTCTTTGGATAGGGGCTCAGTTGGTTCTCAGTTGTGCTAACTGCCATTTCTTTTCATCTCTGGCCTGCAGTTCTACCATCAGCTTCTCACCTGGACCTCCAACTGGTGATAGTCACTGTTCTAAGTCATGTGTGCTGTCCAACCCTTGCCTTGTGGTTCCTTAGATACCCCTACCTGGGCCTTGCCAGTCCTTGCTAGTGTTCTACTCAGGCACTGCACACAGCCTGGGCATGTGAGCAGGCAGGGGATGTGAGCCTTGGGCAAGTTTTAGGAGAAGCATAGCCACCAGAGTTACTCTGTTTCCTGTGCTTATGGAAAAGTACCAGCAGCGAACCCTCCTGTACATAACAGCATGTGGAGCTGCATTTTGGTGTCAGGTGGAGTGCTCTCTATAAATAGTGTGTAAAGCAGCTGGGGATGAAAGTGTGAGGCTCCATGTAAAAGTGGACTCAGTGCCACCCCACTGGCTGCAGCAGCTGCTGCTGTCCCTCCAGGCCATGCCTC